GGGTTCAAATGATTCTCCCACCTCAGCCTCCCAAGTAGCTGGGATTGCAGGTGTCCGCCACTACGCATGGCTGTTTTCTATTTATTTTTTTGAGATAGGTTCTTGCTCTGTTGCTTAGGCTGGAGTCCAGTGGCGCGATCTCAGCTCACTGCAGCCTTTGCCTCCCGGGTTCAAGCAGTTCTCCCACCTCAGCCTCCTAGGTAGCTGGGATTGCAGGCACACCACCATGCCTAGTTAATTTTTGTATTTTTAGTAGAGACGGGGTTTCACCATGTTGGCCAACCTGGTCTCGAACTTCTGACCTCAGGTGATCCACCCTTCTCTGCCTCCCAAAGTGTTGGGATTACAGGCATGAGCCACTATGCCCAGCATGCTAAACACTTTAATGTACACGTTCCAATTTTGTTCCGACAACAGCCATATGAGGCATTATCATTACTTTACAGTCAAATAAATAGGATTAAAGAATAAAGCCGGGCCAGGCATTGTGGCTCACACCTGTAATCCCAGCACTTTGGGAGGTGGAGGTGGGCAGATCACCTGAGGTCAGGAGTTCAAGACCAGTATGGACAACACGGTGAACCCTGTCTCTACTAAAAATACAAAAATTAGCCGGGCATAGTGGTGTACACCTGTAATCCCAGCTACTTGAGAGGCTGAGGTGGGAGAATCGCTTAAACCTGGAGGCGGAGGTTACAGTGAGCCGAGATTGTGCCATTGCACTCCAGCCTGGCCGACAGAGCAAGACTCCATCTCAAAAAAAACAAAAAAAAGAATAAAGTCAATCAAGTCACATCTCAGATTCAAGTATAATCACAGTGCTAAAACCACTCCTTAATAACTATGCTAGAGTGTTTCACATTGCCTGAAATCTAACAAGGGAGAGTCTTTACAGAATAAAACTAACATAAATCAAAGCAAAATATACATGATGTAAGGAAAAATAGAAACGATGCTCACAGAGAGTTCCAAATTTAACATTTGCTGGAAAGCAAAGCAAGATGGCTTCATGAGCTTTAAGAATCCAGTAAATAAGGCCGGGTGCGGTGGCTCAAGCCTGTAATCCCAGCACTTTGGGAGGCCGAGGCGGGTGGATCACGAGGTCAAGAGATCGAGACCATCCTGGTCAACATGGTGAAACCCCGTCTCTACTAAAAATACAAAAAATTAGCTGGGCATGGTGGCGCGTGCCTGTAATCCCAGCTACTCAGGAGGCTGAGGCAGGAGAATTGCCTGAACCCAGGAGGCGGAGGTTGCAGTGAGCCGAGATCGCGCCATTGCACTCCAGCCTGGGTAACAAGAGCGAAACTCCGTCTCAAAAAAAAAAAAAAAAAAAGGAATCCAGTAAATACTTCCTGATATCCATGGGTTCAATTGATGCAATCACCTAGACCTGTAGCTATTAAAGACAAGTGTTTAAATGGAACTCGTGGTAGCCACAAACCAGTTTGTTCTGACCTTGGTGCCAACAAGTGGCATAGGGCGTGCCTAAGCTGAGTTGATGGCCGGGTGCCATCTTGCCTATCAACAGTAGGCTAGATGAGGGTAGACTGGGCTTGATGGAGCGGCTGGGCTTAGACCCTCCCGTTGTATGTTTTAGGGGCCCCACTGGCTTTTGCCAGCATGCCAGGCTGCACAGTTATGACTGACCTGAAGGATGCAAAGGCTCCAGCTGGCTCTCTCACCCCTGAGAGAATTCCGGAGGTCCATCACATTGCCCAGGATCCTCTGCACTACAGCACAGCCTCAGTGTCCGCTTCTCAGAAGATCAGAGAACTAGAGTCTATAATCGGCATAGACCCAGGTAAGAAACAACGCATTTGCACCTGGAGACACTCACCACTGACATCATTTTCAGTGAAAAAGGCAGGATGCAAAATGTATCCACAGGATGGTTTTATAAATGTTGATACTGCATATGAATCTCAAAAAGACCAGAATTAAATACACCGGAATACTGACATTGATGGTCTCTGGGTAGTGCTATTGTGAATAATTTTTCCTTTCTTTTTTCTTTTCTTTTCTTTCTCTCTCATTTTCTCTCTCTCTCTCTCTTTCTTTTTCTTTCTTTTTTTGAGACAGAGTCTCACTCTATTGCCCAGGCGGGAATGCAATGATGTGATATCGGCTCACTGCAACCTCTGTCTCCAGGGTTCAAGTGATTCTCCTGCCTCAGCCTCCTGAGTAGCTGGGATTACAGGCACACACCAACCTGCCTGCCTAATTTTTGTATTTTTAGTAGAGGCAGGGTTTCACCATGTTGGCCAGGCTGGTCTGAACTCCTTGACCTCATGATCTTCCCACCTCAGCCTCCTGAGTAGCTGGGACTGCAGGCTGGCACCTACCAAGTTGTACTCTGCCAGGCATCAGGCTGCAAACATTTACATGTTTCATCTTATTCAATTCTCCCGATGACTCTACGTGGAGGCAACTATGATTAACTTCATTTAACACGTGAGGAAACTGAGACAGACAAGGTGCAGAGACCTGTCAGAGTCCACATACCTAGTAGGTGGGCAAGGCAGATCTTGAACCCGTGTCTGCTGACTTCGAGCTCATGATTTATAAATGTCAGCTAAATTAGAATCTGAGTCTAAACGGTAAGTCACAGTCTTACCTGGGCAGTTGAAAGAATGCTCCAGCGACTCCTGGTTGTCCCTCTTCTGGACCTCCTCGTGGGCTGTGCTCCTAAACCTGGGGTACGAACCACCCTTGGCACCTGGAATGACTGGAGAGGAGAAGCCATACGTGGCCTCCCCACCCGCCCACCTGACTTTCATTCCCCAGAGTCAGATGGGCTGGTGGGGAGACCCAGGGAGCTACCTGGGTCAATGGTGGCCCACCTCGGTAGAGAGCTGAGGGGTGAGGCCAGCCTGCAAAGCAGCCATCAAGTCTCTAGGCTGGACTTCCAGGGCCCAGGCAGAACCAATTCCAGTGCTAGCTTAAAGCCTATGGCAGCTGGGCAGAGCCCCAAAACAGACAGACTGGGACCTTCCCTTACTGGCCAGCACTGTCACGAATCTCACAGTACAGATCAGCTCCAGAAATGCCTCATCCTTGGGAGGCCGAGGCGGGAGGATCACTTGAGGTCAGGAGTTCAAGACCAGCCCAGGAAATGTAGAGAGATCCTAGCTCTAGAAAAAATAAAAAAATTAGCGGGTGTGGTGTCACACGCCTGTGGTCCTAGCTACTGGGGAGGCTGCGGTGTGTGGATCGCTTGAGTTCAGGAGGCTGAGGCAGCAGTGAACCGTGACTGCGCCACTGCACTCCAGCCTAGGCAACAGAGCAAGACCCTGTCTCAAAAAAATAATAATAATAATAGAAAAATAACTGTCTGATTCTCTCCCCTGGGTCTGGGAGCAAAAGTTGTCTTCCAATGGTAGGGGCATCTGTAGTAACTAAATTTCCTGCTGAACCCCTGGACATAGCTCTTTGCTTGTTTGCCTTCTGTTAGGTTGTTCATTCATTTATTCTGTAGAGAATATGGTTTCCTTTACATATAATCCTATAGTAAATTAAGGATATAATCCCACCATAGATATATCTAGTAGGTCACATGCTCATGACTGTGTATACATAAAGTCTCTTGCACAGTTGATCCCCTGGGTGGATTTTTTTTTTCTTTTGAGACATAGTCTCACTCTGTCACCCAGGCTGGAGTGCAGTGGTGCCATCTTCGTTCATTGCAACCTCTGCCTCCTGGGTTCAAGCAATTCTCGTACCTCAGCCTCTCAGCATAGCTGGGATTATAGGCATGTGCCACCATGCCTGGCTAATTTTTGTAATTTTAGTAGGGATGGGATTTCACTATGTTGGCCAGGCTTATCTCAAGCTCCTGGCCTTGAGCAAACTGCCTCCCAAAGTGCTGGGATTACAGGGGCGAGCCACTGTGCCCGGCTGGATTTTTTTTTTTCTTTTTTTTTTTTGAGATACGTTCTTGCTCTGTCCTCCAGGCTGGAGTGCAGTGGTACAACCATAGCTCACTGCAACCTCACTCTCCGGGGCTCAAGGTACCCTCCCACCTCAGCCTCCTGAGTAGCTGGGACTACAGGTGCACACCACCATGCTGGGCTAATTTTTAACTTTTATTTGTAGAGATGGGGTCTCCCTTTCTTGCCCAGGCTGGTCTTGAACCTCTGGCTTCAAGCAATCATCCCTCCTCCGTCTCTCAAAGTGTTCAGATTACAGATGGGAGCCACCGCTCCTGGTGCTCTGGATGGATATATATTTTAAAATTTCTGCCATCCCTTCTCCTTCACAAAGATTCTTACCCAGGCAGATGGCTCTCCACTTAGCACAGGGTCATGAGGGAAGATGAATTATTAACTCTACCATTAGCTCAGATTTTTAAAAAAGTAATTGGGGAGTAAATTTATTGCCGACATGATGCCCCCATTGCTTAATAAAGTGAGCTTAGAAGTCAGCCACAAACGTGACCCATCAATGTTGTGCAGACTGCAAGACGCAGCTTGAAGGATGAGGCTGGGGGAGGCGGATTTACAGCTGTTGGACGTGTCAATGTCATCCATTGAGATCATCTTTAATCCCCAAGAACAACAGATGCTTTTGATCCCCACTATATTAAATAAGCAGATAGAAGATTCATAACAGCATCTTGAGCATTACTCACTGGGCATAACAATAGACCCACTCAGTCATTTTTGAGAGGATGTTGGCTTGCGTTTGAGGTGCCTGGAGAATATGAAGGGATATAGGGTTTACAGTAATAATTTTTGCACTGATGATAAAATCATCATGAACTTATTGACCGGTTTACAGTTGACCCAGTTCTCACTCTCCACTTCTCCCTTTGGTGTTCACCATGCCCTATGAAATAGGTGACATCCCAATTGTTTTCTTTAAAAATGTTATTCTTCTCCCTGTCCCCACTTTTTTTGAGATGGCGTCTTACTCTGTTGCCCAGGCTGGAGTGCAGTGGTGCGATCTCAGCTCACTGCGGCCCCTGCCTCCCAAGTTCAAGCGATTCTCCTGCCTCAGCCTCCCAAGCAGCTGGGATTACAGGTGGGTACCACCATGCCTGGCTAATTTTTGTATTTTTAGTAAAGACAGAGTTTCACCATGTTGGCCAGGCTGGTCTCAAACTCCTGACCTCAAGTGATCTGCCCACCTTGGCCTCCCAAAGTGCTGGGATTACAGGGGTGAGTAATGCTGCCTGGCCTCTTCTCCCCTTTTATCAGTAGTACTTCATGTTCATTGTAGAAGTATCTGAAAATATATACAAGTAAAGAGGGGATAAAGATTACCAGTATCCCAACACAGTTAACCAGCATTAACAGCAGCATTTGCCTTTAGAGTGATTTTTCTCAGTCTTGAGCCTATGCATGCATGCGTGTGTGTACTGGACTCACACTGCGAAACTGTTTTAGGACTTGCTCTTTTCCTTTTTGATGTACTGTGAACATCTTTCCCTGCCATCAAATAGTCTTCTGCAACAGCAGTCAGCAGTCCCCAAACTTTTTGGCACCAGGGACTGGTTTGGTGGAAGACAGTTTTTCCATGGACAGGGGTTGAGAGGGGGTAGTTTCAGGACGATTCAGGCACATTACATTTATTGTGCACTTCATTTTTATTACGATTACATTGCAATATATAATGAATTAATTAAACAACTCAGTATAACGTAGAATCAGTGGGAGCCCTGAGTCTGTTTTCCTGCAGCTAGATGGTTCCATCTGGGGGTGATGGGAGTCAGTGACAGATCGTCAGGCATTAGATTCTCATAAGGAGCGTGCATCCTAGCTCCCTCACATGCGCAGTTCACAGTAGGGTCTGCGCTCCTATGAGAGTCTAATGCTGTAGCTGATCTGATGGGAGATGTGGCTCAGGTGGTGATGTGAGCCGTGGGGAGCGACCGGCAACACAGATGAAGCTTCGCCCCTGCTGCTCACCTCCTGCTGCTGGGCCTCGTTCCTAACAGGCCCATGTTCGATTAATACAACAGCCTTTTTAATGTTTGCATACAATTTCTTCTTCTTTTTTTTTTTTTTGAGATGGAGTTTTGCTCTTGTTGCCCAGGCTGGAGTGCAATGGCGCGATCCCAGCTCACTGCAGCCGTTGTCTCCTGGGTTCAAGTGATTCTCCTGCCTCAGCCTCTTGAGTACCTGGGACTACAGGCGCACACCACCATGCCCAGCTAATGTTTGTATTTTTAGTAGAGACGGGGCTTCCCTATGTTGGCCAGGCTGGTCTCGAACTGCTGACCTCGTGATCCCCCCGCCTCAGCCTCCCAAAGTGCTGAGATTACAGGTGTGAGCCACCGTGCCTAGCCCTACGTCCTTGTCTTAGGGTCTTCTTTGAGGGAATCCCCAACTAAGACAGTACTAGTTCCTCTCCCTCTTATATTTTCCCTGTATTAGTTAGGCTTTGCTAGAGTGCTATAACCAAGAAGCCCCGGGGATTCTTTGCTCAAATACAGCAGAAGCATGTTTCTCTCTCACATAGCAGGCCAGAGCGGGTCTTCCAGGGTAAGCACCTGGGTCAGCAGAAAGGGGATCTGCTCCGCTAGGTCACTCAGGGACCCTTCAGCTCTGCTGTCATGTCCTGTGACCGCCGGGAAGTTCTGGCTGTCAATATTCCAGCCACCAGGAAAAGGGAATGAACTTGGAGGTGCGTGTGGGTAGGAGGTGCATGCCAGGCCTGGAGGTGGCACGCGTCACTTCCGTCATGATCCAGTTGAGATAACCTAATCTTGTGGCCACACGTCACCGAAGGGAGGCTGCTCAGCCATTTACCCCTCTCCCCTTCACTGCTGGGGTTGGGGGCAGGGGTAGGATACGCTATGGTGAGCAATTTGCAGTCTCCGTCACATCCCTCAAAAAAAACAAAATAAACTAAAAACCCAAACTACTCTTACTATAAGTTTCTACTTTAAAAATAATTACTTTTGGCTGGGCTCAGTGGCTCACACCTGTAATCCCAGCATTTTGGGAGTCCCAGGTGAGAAGATAGCTTGAGCCTGGGAGTTTGAGACCAGCCTGGGCAACATAGCAAGACCCTATCTTTTAAAAAATGCCAAAAAAATATGGTGGCACGTGCCTGTGCCTTTGTATTTTCAGTAGGGACGGGGTTTCACCATGTTGGCCAGACTGGTCTCAAATTCCTGACCTCAAGTGATCTGCCCACCTTGGCCGTGGTAAGCAATTTGCTGTCTCTGCCACATCCCTCAGAAAAACAAAGCAAACAAACTAAAAACTCAGCCTGTAGCCCAGCTACTCAGGAGGCTGAGTTGGGAGGATCACTTGAGCCTGGGAGTTTGAGGCTGCAGTGAGCTATGATCGCGTCACTGCACTCCACCCTGGATGACAGAGCGGGACCCTATCATAAATAAATAAATAAGTAAATAAGGGTCAGGTGCCGTGCCTCACACCTGTAATCCCAACACTTTTAGAGGCTGAGGCGGGCAGATTACCTGAGGTTGGGAGTTCGAGACCAGCCTGACCAACATGAAGAAACGCTGTCTCTCCTAAAAATTCAAAAAAATTAGCCAGGCGTGGTGGTTCATGCCTGAGATCTCAGCTACTCAGGAGGCTGAGGCAGGAGAATCACTTAAACCCAGGAGGCGAAGGTTGTGGTGAGCCGAGATTGGCCATTGCACTCCAGCCTGGGCAGCAAGAGTGAAACTCTGTCTCAAAAAAATAAAAATAAATAAATACATAAACTTAAAAAATAAAGATAGTTTAAATTCTATTTTATTTTTGTTATTCCAGGCAACCGGGGGATTGGGCACCTGCTCTGTAAAGACGAGCTGCTGAAGGCCTCTCTGTCGCTGTCCCATGCCCGCTCAGTGCTCATCACCACCGGGTTCCCCACGCATTTCAATCATGAGCCTCCGGAAGAGACAGACGGCCCACCTGGAGCTGTTGCCCTGGCCGCCTTCCTGCAGGCCTTGGAGAAAGAGGTCGCCATGATCGTTGACCAGAGAGCCTGGAGCTTGCACCAGAAGATTGTTGAAGACGCTGTTGAGCAAGGTGAGCAGTGAGACAGGCTTGGTCCCTTTCCCCAAATGGGCTTTGTGGATGGAGGCTGGAAGGAATCAGCATCTGCAGCACAGGGCATTTTCCTTCCAGCTCAGAACAATTCCATAAGTTGCATAGCCCTATTTTATAGATAAAGAGACCGAGGCTCTGAGAGATCCAGGGGATTTTCCCAGGTGGGATGGTGAGCTGGAATTGGAACTTGGATCCTTCCTCATACCTGCTGCCCTCTGTTGGGATTTGCTCAGGGTGGCTGGCAAAATATTAGGGAAATACTAGGGAAAGTTATAAGATTACAGCCTCGAACCTTCTGGAAGGCCGAAAGGCTCTAATGGAATGGCAGAAGGCAGCTGATGACCATCCCTAGCCCACTCAGATTCATTCTAGTGTGTGTGAGTATTCTCGTGTGTGTGAGTGCATTTATTCATCCATCGCTGAGTCAGGGTCTGCAGGACAGACCTCTGAAGGTGGTGATCAGCAGGTCAGATGGTGACCCCCACGTGATACTCATCACAGCTGGCACCCTAACAGGGACACCGACGTGATCGAGGTCTCAGATGGTGACCCCGACGTGATAGTCGTCATAGCCCTCCCTGTGCAAGGTGAGGAATGAAGTGCTGAGTGCTCTTAGCAAGCCGGGGTAGCCCTGGAGCACCGGAGCTGGAGAGGGCAGTGGAGTAGGAAGTGGCTGTAAGGCTCAGACGTCACTCCCACCTGGTCATGATGGGCCGGGCTGCACCTGGAGCACCCAGATGGGGGTTATTGCTGCAGGTGTTAGAGACTCGAGGCTGTAATTCCACTGCCCATGTAACCAGATCAGCCTCAGGCTCAATGTGAACAACCGCTGCTCACCTCACCCCATCCTGCAGCAAGTGTTATCCAGCATGAGCTGGAAGCCTGGTGAATCTCTCCTGCCTCCTGCTACCGATCGTAACTTCAGAGGTATGTTTTTTCCTTTTAGCATGTAAAAAGGGGTTTAAACCCAGTGAGGCATGCCCTAAAGCACCCATTATGTCAGAAGTTTCCAAAAGCCTGTGTCTGTACATGCAGAATGCATTTCATGCCACAAATGTGTGTTGAGCGTGAGTATGTGCCAGGCACTCTGTTCAGTTCCTGAGATCCATCCCTGAATGAAACTGACAACGATCCTGCCCCCACGGAGAGTATCTTCCGGTGGAGCGTGACAGAAAGAAACCACATGAAAGACAAACCCACAGTGTGTTCAAGTGATGGTGCCGTGGGGAAAATGGACCAGGATGAGGAGAGTGAGGGGCTGGGTGGTGGCAGCCGGGAGGGCAGCTGTCACTTTAAACAGGAAGACCCCCTGGAGAAGGCGACTTTTGAGCCCAGACTTCAGGTTGATGATGAGGGCATGAGGCCTGGACTGGCTGAGGGAAGGGTGTCCCAGGCTGTGGCAGCGGCTGAGGCAGAGGCCATCAGGTGGAGTGAGGGTCCAGTGGGTTTAAGAAAGGGTGACACGCTGGCTGACTGGCCTGGAGTGGATGAGGAAAAGGGAAGTGGGATGGGGGACAGAGAGGCAACAGGGACCAGATGGGGCAGGGCCTCGCAGGACCCTGTGGGCAGCTGGGCTTTTGTTCTGGGTGAGATGTGGAGCCTGGGATTTCGCTGAGTGGGGGACAGCCATGTCCTGTGCAGTTTGTAAGTGATCATTGGGGTGCAGAGACAAGGGTGGAAATGGGAGACTGGTGGGTCATGGAAGGTGGGAGAGGAGGACAGCTTGGAGGGGGTGCTCCGTGGTATATCCCTTCAGCCCCACTTCTGATTTCAGCTGCCACTGCGGTGGAAGTTCTGAGTCGCACCAACCCGATTGGGCCGGTCACAAGCTAGGGCCCTGCAGGGCCTCTCCAAAGCCATGTGGAATCACTGGCTGATGGCTTCAGGGCCCCCTCAACCCCTGGGGGACAGGACCTGAGGTGTAAGTGACCTGTCTCCTGTCTTTTGGAGACACACAGGCCCTGGTGGAACTGAGGCCCTGCTCCCTAGAGTGACAGGCTTGAAGGTGCACGTTCCCTCCTTCCCAGCCTCACTCTCCCTGTTCCCTCCCACCTGCTTCCTGGCACCATCTCCGGAGAGACCATCTGCACCCAAGTCTCAGGCTCTGGTTTCAAAGGAACCCAAGGAGATGAAAGGTAAAGATACAGAGGGCTGGGGGTGTTGTGAGAAGTAGCCAGCTGCTGCATCTGTTTTGCAGGTAGAGTCGGCATGATTTCCAGATGGACTGGATGTGGGTGTGAGGTGGAAGGATCCAGGCTTGCGCTAAGGCTTTTGACCTGGTAGCTGAAAGGATGGAGTTGCCGGGCACTGAGATGGGGAAGACTGGGAGGGCCGCTTTAGGGGTAAATCAAGAGTCCAGGTTAGACATTCGTGCGCTGCTGGAGGGATTGTAAAATGGTGCTGATGCTATGAAAATCAGATGGTGGCCGGGCGCGGTGGCTCACGCCTGTAATCCCAGCACTATGGGAGGCCGAGGCGGGCAGATCACAAGGTCAGGAGATCGAGACCATCCTGGCCAACACACTGAAACCCATCTCTACTAAAAGTACAAAAAATTAGCTGGGCACGGTGGTAGGCACCTGTAATCCTAGCTACTCAGGAGGCTGAAGCAGGAGAATTGCCTGAACCAGGAAGCCAGAGGTTGCTGTGAGCCAAGATGGTGCCACTGCACTCCAGCCTGGTGACAGAGCAAGACCCCGTCAGAAAGAAAGAAAGAAAAAAAGAGAGAGAGGGAGGAAGGGAGGGAGGGAAGGAAGGAAGGACAGAACAGATGGCAGTGGCTCAAAAAATTAAAAATAGCAAATAGCAAATATCCTATGATCCAGCAATTCCACTTCCAGGCATATACCCCCAAAAAAGGATCGACTTCCAGGCATATACCCCCAAAAAAGGAAAGTAGCGACTCAAGAGGTATTTGTCCCCTCCATGCTCAGAGCACTTTATTTTCAGTAGTCAAGAGATGAAAGCAAACCCAGTGCCCATCAGTGGACGAATAGATAAACAAAATGTGTATATAATTATCACTCAGCCTTAAAAAGGCAGGAAATTCTGACATGCTACAACGTGGACCAACCTTGAGGACATCATGAGAAGTGGACTAAGCCAGTCACATCGTATGACTCCACTCATGTGATGCGCCTAGAGTGGGCAAACTCATAGGGGAGAAAGTAGAATGGTGGTTGGCAGTGCTGGGGGAGCGGGGAACGGGGAGTTTTATAGAGGTTCAGTCTGGGTTGATGAGAAAGCTCTAGAGGTGAATGGGGGTGATGGTTGCACAATAATGTGAACATACTTTATGCTACTGAACTGTACACTTGAAAATGGCTAAAATAGGCCGGGTGTGGTGGCTCATGCCTGTAATCTCAGCACTTTGGGAGGCTGAGGTGGGTGAATTGCTTGAGGTCAGGAGTTCGAGAACAGCCTGGCCAACATAGCAAAACCCCGTCTCTGCTAAAAACACAGAAGTTAGCCAGGCGGTGGTGCACACCTGTAATGCCAGCTACCTGGGAGGCTGAGACACGAGAATCACTTGAACCTGGGAGGCAGAGGTTGTAGTGAGCTGAGATCACACCACTGCACTCCGGCCTCAGTGACAGGGTGAAACTGTGTCTCAAAATAAATAAAGAAAGAAAAAGACTAAAATGGTAAATTTTACATTGCATGTATTTTACCATAATTTTTTAAAGAATGCAGGTTTGACCCTGTTAGGTATGAGGACATTAGACATACAGTGGAGGGTCAAGGAGGCAGTTGGTGACATATGATGAGAGTTCAGGAGAGCAGCGTGGGCAAGAAGGAGAAATTGGGAGGCTGTTGGCGTGTTGGTGGCTCCCAAGTCAAGATACTGGGCGAGATCACCGTGGGGATAGATGGAGGCAGAGCAAGCCACCCGGGATGGCGTCCTGGGTCTCCCTGTGTTGAGAGGACGAGAAGAAGGCGGAGCAGCCAGCAAGGGAGACAGTGACCTGAGAAGAAGGAGCGGGGCTGAGGCCAGAGGCAAGGCGGGGGGCAGCGTTTCTGCAGAGCAGCGAAAGGCCTCTTTCTCTCTCTCTCTTTTTTATTATACTTTCAGTTCTGGGGTGCATGTGCAGAACATACAGGTTCGTTACACAGGTATCCACGTGCCATGGTGGTTTGCTGCATCCATCACCCTGTCATCTACATTAAGTATTTCTCCTAATGTTATCCCTCCCCTATCCCCCCACCCACTGCTATTCCTCCCTAGCCCCCCACCCCCCAACAGGCCCCAGTGTGTGATATTCCCCTCCCTGTGTTCTCATTGTTCAACACCCACTTATGAGTGAGAACATGCAGTGTTTGGTTTTCTGTTCTTGTGTCAGTTTGCTGAGAATGATGGTTTCCAGCTTTATCCATGTCCCTGCAAAGGACATAAACTCATCCTTGTTTATGGCTGCACAGTATTCCATGGTATATATGTGCCACATTTTCTTTATCCAGTCTATCATTGATGGGCATTTGGGTTGGTTCCAAGTCTTTGCTATTGTGAACAGTGCCACAATAAACATGCATGTGCATGTCTTTATAACAGAATGATTTAGCCGGGCGTGGTGGCTCAAGCCTGTATTCCCAGCACTTTGGGAGGCCGAGGCGGGTGGATCACGAGGTCAAGAGATCGAGACCATCCTGGTCAACATGGCGAAACCCTGTCTCTACTAAAAATAGAAAACATTAGCTGGGCATGGTGGCGCGTGCCTGTAATCCCAGCTACTCAGGAGGTTGAGGCGGGAGAATTGCCTGAACCCAAGAGGCGGAGGTTGTGGTGAGCCGAGATCGTGCCATTGCACTCCAGCCTAGGTAACAAGAGCGAAACTCCATTCCAAAAAAAAAAAAAAAATAGAATGATTTATAATTTGTTGAGTATATACCCAGTAATAGGATTGCTGGGTCAAATGGTATTTCTATTTCTACATCCTTGAGGAATTGCCACACTGTTGCACAATGGTTGAACTAATTTACACTCCCACCAACAGTGTAAAAGTGTTCCTATTTCTCCACATCCTCTCCAACATCTGTTGTCTCCAGATTTTTTAATGATCACCATGCTAACTGGCATGAGATGGTATCTCAGTGTGGTTTTGATTTGCATTTCTCTTATGATCAGTGATGATGAGCTTTTTAAAATATATTTGTTGGCTGCAAAAATGTCTTCTTTTGAGAAGTGTCTGTTCATAGCCTTTGCCCACCTTTTGATGGGGTTGTTTTTTTTTCTTGTACATTTGTTTAAGTTCTTTGTAGATTCTGGATATTAGCCCTTTGTCAGATGGAGGAAGAGTACCACTCACAGGCCAACCCTCCTTTCCATCTGACAGTGGCATTGCTGGGTATTTTCAGCTGCCCCCTTCCCAGAAGTAACTTTGCCCTCTCTGCTCACCCAACAACCCGATTTGGGGACACCTGCCAGACTCCACTGAGAGCTGGGTCTTTCCTCTTGTCCTCACAGGAGCTCAGAGGGTGGAATTTGCTATATTTAATTTTGCAGTACTTCTATTACATGTAGATGAAGAAAGTAAAAGCAATTTGGCCTTTTAATGAAAATTATTTCAGCTTCCTTTTTAATAACCAAAGCCTAGGAAAAGTTTTTGAGAGGCTGGGTGCAGTGGCTTATGCCTGTAATCACAGCACTTTGGGAGGCCGAGGCAGGCAGATCACCTGAGCTCAGGAGTTCGAGACCAGCCTGGCCAACATGGTGAAACCCTATCTATACTAAAAAATACAAACATTAGCTGAGTGTGGTGGCATGCACCTACAGTCCCAGCTACTTGGGAGGCTGAGGCAGGAGAACCGCTTGAACTCGGGAGGTGGAGGTTGCAGTGAGCCAAGATTGTGCCACTGCACTCCAGCCTGGGTAAGTGGGCGAGACGCTATCTCAGAAAAAAAAAAAAAAAAAAAAAGAGTTTTAAAGATGACCAGGCATTGTCATTTATTCCCTGTCTTGAGCACAGACAGACCAAAGAGCTTTCTTTGTAGCTCGGAAGTGGGAACCTCATCTTGCCTGGACCTTCCCTTTTGGGGGTTCTCCTGTATCTTTTCTCGTGTGTGCCCCACTTTGACATACATTATGTTCCCTGCCTTCCTGGGCTCCCTGGTACTTCTTCTTCCTGGTATCCTATATCCTTGATCCAATTTTGAGGCAGTGAGAAAGAAACATCCTTTACTTAGCGCTGACCGTGTGCAAGGTAGCCAGCCAGGTACTCAGCACATGTCACGTCGTGGCACTCTCAGCAGTCCTGGGAGGTGGGTGTTACCCCATTTTGCAGAGGAGCTAACCAATGGCTTCCGTGGCTTGCCCAAGGTCACATAGCTGGGGAATGGTGTGACATTCCCACCGAGGGCTATTTGGCTCTAAGTTCAGCCCCCTTTTCCAGATTGCCAGGCTGCTCCTCACAGCACAGGGAGGGGCTGGGTCATTCCCCTTTGTTGTGACTGTCTCCCAACCCCAAATTCCTGGCTTATGGCTTCGCATGTAGAGTGTTCCGTGAGCATCACGGATGACTGACAGCTACTTGCCTTCCGCCTTAGATGTGGGATGGGGCCAGGGAGCGGGGTGAGGAAGGGACCACAGTGGGATTCTTGAAGATTTCTGACAATGATTCTTGTCCTTCACGCCAGCTTGCCCCATTGACCCACTGGGGTAGCAGTGGTGGCTCCCAAAGAGCTCAGGGGCAGCAGCATGGTGGAGTAGCTGGGGGTGGGAGCCGCTGTCTAAACGCTGTGTTTACAGTTCAAGCACACAGTTGTAACATAGGTGTGGTGTCTCCTTGGCCTGGCTCTACGTGAGGGGTGTGAGGGGCTGATGATGGAGATTGAGGAGCCGGCTGAAGCTCCTCCAAGGCTGCCTGGGCACCCCTCCTGGGCCACAGAGCAGTCTGGGAGCTCCAGCAGGACCAGGTAGACCAGAATGGTGGGTCCAAGAGCCCCTGCCCCTGGCTCCCTGCCGTCTTAAGCTCTGTGTGGAGACTTCACCCTTGGCCAGTGAATACGCCGGGATTCTGCCCCAGCCGGCTGTGAGACAGATCATTTAATGAAAACCAAGTTCATTTTATTTCATTTTGGGATTTTTATATATTTCCCACATATTCTAAAACACTATGTATTCTTTTTGTAATTAGAAAAGATCCTATTTTTAAGAGTCTAATTAACTTTGATTCACTTTTGGAAGTCACTCCAGTATAAGTAAGTAACCCAAGGCACAGACTCTGGGAATTTCCTCCAGTTGTTCTTGACCTTCCTTGAAGGTATGCAGGGAGGTAGCCGGTAGGGAGCAGGTGAGAATTTGGGGTGAAAATTGGAGCCATGAAACTGACATATATACATGGTCTCGCCCAAGTTGTTTGGCATCTCTGAGCCTCAGTTTTCCTCCTCTTTAAAATGGGGTAATGATGTTAATTTAAACATCACACCGAGTTGTTGTAAAAATTAAACCAGAATGTTCACATCAAGTGCTTAGCAAAGGACTGGTGCACTGTCACTGAGGGCACATAAATGTGTGCCCAGCCCTCGTGATGGCAGTGGGCCAGAATAGGCCACCGTTCCTGTGGTTTTATGGGCATCTCACATGCAGCATTTGTTAGGCTGTATTAGTCCGATTCCGCCCTTTACCCTGTCGACCCTAGAGTTTACCCAGGACCAAAAGTAATCTGAAGTATCCTCTGTGTCGTGGCCGTGGCTTACCTAACATGCTCTGCAGATAGAGGTGGTTTAGTAACAGTAATGATACCCTTCAAAGAAGCTTTTGAAAAGCCAATATGAATTCCCAAAATGCAATGCTACAGCTGATGTGTGTCCTGCTTGCCTTTATTTTCAAGGTGTTCTGAAGACACAGATCCCAATATTAACTTACCAAGGTGGATCAGTGGAAGCGGCTCAGGCATTCCTGTGCAAAGACGGGGACCCCCAGACACCTCGGTACGTATGTCCCATCCCAGTTTAAGTGGTTGACAGTGGAAACGCCCATATGCTCTTAACTTAGCCAACAAAGTGTCTGCACACTCAAGCCCTTCAGAGGGAACAAAGCCATGAGCCAAGGAAGGTGGGTTCTCATGGGCCAGACTAACAAATGAGATGGGGGTTTTTGAGGTGTCCTGGGAGCCTCACAGAGCATTTCTGGAAATAACAGGTTCCTGGTCAGAACCTGTTACAGAGAGAGACGGTATATCTTCCTGACAGAGGGGAGAGAGAGAATAAAAAAAAAAAACCACAAAAACTAGAGGTGTCTTAATCTCAAACTATGGGTCATGACCTGTTAGAGGACAGTGCACTCATTTCAGCTGGGGTATCCGGCCCCTTTGGAAAATGAAATAGAAATACAGCATCATTGTATATCTTGTATGGTAATGGTAAGTACTCTCTCATGAGACTGTGTGTGTGCAAGTGTGTGTATTTCTTACTGTGTGTTATGGTCAAACTTTTTTTTTTTATTTTTTGAGTTGGAGTCTTGCTTTACCACCCAGGCTGGAGTGCAGTGGCACGATCTCAGCTCATGGCAACCTCTGCCTCCCAGGTTCCAGTCATTCTCCTGCCTCAAGCTCCCAAGCAGCTAGGATTACAGGCGCCTGCCACCACACCCAGCTAATTTTTGTATTTTTAGTAGAGACGGGGTTTCGCCATGTTGGCTACTCTGGTTTCAAACTCCTGACCTCAAGGGATCCACTCACCTGGGCCTCCCAAAGTGTTGGAATTATGGATGTGAGCCACCGCACCTGGCCTATGGTCAAACACTTTGAAAAAATACTCTCTTATAGTATATGGGGATGTGTTTTATGACTTGCTGTATACAATGCTTTGCAAACTAACTTCACAACCACCTATAGTAACACATTTTGTACTGCAAACCAGTACTCATGCACATCAGTGAAATGGAAGTTTCAAAACATTGACTCTTGCTATGTGCAGTGTGCTCTAAAATTTTCGATTCTACTCTGTTCTATTCTACTTTTCTTTTCTTTTTTTTTTTGAGATGGGGTTTCTCCATGTTGGTCAGGCTCTTCTCAAACTCTGAACCTCAGGTGATCCACCCATCTCAGCCTCCCAATGTGCTGGATTATAAACGTGAACCACCGCGCCCAGCCTTATTCTACTTTTCAAATAAAAATGCCAATATGGTTCAATAAATGTATCGCATAACCCACTAATAAATGTCTGCTTAGAATTCTAAAATTCTGGTTTTTTGTTTTGTTTTGTTTTGAGACAGAGTATCCATCTGTTGCCCAGGCTGGAGTGCAGTGGTGCAATTTCGGCTCACTGCAACCTCTGCCTCCCGGGTTCAAGTGATTCTCCTGCCTCAGCCTCCCAAGTAGCTGGGATTATAGGTGCCCACCACCACACTCAGCTAATTTTGTATTTTTAGTAGAGACAGGGTGTCCCCATGTTGGTCAGGCTGGTCTCAAACTCCCAATCTCAGGTGCACTGCATGCCTCAACCTCCCAAAGTGCTGTGATAACAGGTGTGAGCCACTGCACTGGCCAAAATTCTGTTTTAATGAGCCTTGAGGGTATAGCTAGGTTGCAGCTGCCAGTGGAATCTGGTGTTGATTATGAGAATCCTGAGTCGCCAAGGAAAAGTTTGACTGTGGATCTGATATGCTACTCAAAGCTGCCAGCACATGTGTGGCGCATATTGAAAATGTTTCTATTCCCCAATAAGAGTTGGCATACAACTGTCAGCAGCTCTATGTCCTAAGGGAGAAACTAGAATACCTTCTTAGGCAAGACACCTGCTGCCTGATGACCTAGGTCCTGCTGTTTGCTGAGTAGCGAGGTGAGCAGATCTGCTTGTGAGGAGAGATGATTCTATTCTCCTTGGGGAAGCCAAATTAACCCTTCCCATGAAGCATGCTTCCCAGGAATGAATAAGTTCCCACTGTAGCTAAATGGATCTGTCTGGATGAGAAAATCATTAGACCCTCGCAATGTATGCAACTGAGGTCTCCTGTGGGAGAAGGTCCAGAAATAGCGTTCTCTCTCCAGAACGGGGAACATGTTAATCTTGACTGCAACTTTGGATCTGTCTTCTCATCCCTACTGATATAGGTCTAAAGTAAATTCAAGCTCAAAGCTCCTTCCTCCTGTTCATTCTGCTTCGCAGTGTCCGCCTTTTCCTGCACCACACTTGTAGCCTCAGGATTCTATTCTAAGACCTACTGATGGTCACCCAGTCAAGGCATGTGTGGTGCTGCCACATTTTAGCACAACCCAAGGATATGGGCAGGCATGTAGATTTTACTTTTAAAAAACATTTATTTAAAAAGCACTCAGAGGCCGGGTGCAGTGGCTCACGCCTATAATCCCAGCACTTTAGGAGGTCAAGGTGAATGGATCACCTGAGGTCAGGAGTTCAAGACCAGCCTGGCCAACATGGTGAAACCCTGTCTTTACTAAAAATACAAAAATTAGCTGGGTGTGCTAGTGCACACCTGTAGTCCCAGCTACTCAAGAGGCTGAAGCTGGGACTACAAGCGTGCACCACCATACCCAGCTAATTTTGTATTTTTAGTAGAGACGGGGTTTCTCCATATTGGTTAGGATGGTCTCGAACTCCCAACCTTAGGTGATCCACCCGCCTTGGCCTCCCAAAGTGCTGGGATTAGAGGCATGAGCCACTGCGCCTGGCCTCTCTCTGAATCATTTTTAAGCTTACACTTCAGTGGCATAAAAGTACACTCACATTACTGTCAGCCATCATCACCATCCATCTCCAGAACTCTTCATCTTGCAAAACTGAAAGTCTGTGACCCATTCAGCGATAATTCTCCATCTCCTCAACCCAACCTCTGTCAACCATGGTTCTACCTTCTGTCTTTATGAGTTTGACTATTTGAGGCACCGTGTGAAGTGGAGTCATGCAATATTTGTCCTTTGGTTACTACTCATTTCACTTAGCATAATGTCCTCAAAGTGCACTCATGTCACAGCATGTGCCAGAATGCCCTGCCTTTTTAGTAGAATAACGTTCCCCTCTGTGTTTATGCCCCGTGACGTTTCTGCGTTCACCCATCAGCGAACACTTGGTTTGCTCCCTGCTCTTGGCTATGATGAATGCTGCTGCTGTGAGCATGGGTGGACAAACATCCCCTTGAGTCTTTCGCTTCCCCTGGACATATACCGAAGGGAAATTGCTGGACCATATGGTATGCTCTATTTTTAATTTTTTGAGGAATGGACATACTATTTTTTATAGCAGAGTTAAGATTTTTGAAGAACACTGTCTTGGAAGGATTGAGAGAGATGTAAAAGTACAATATGCATATTTTTTGATTTTTTGATTTGAGACAGCATCTTGCTCTGTCACCCAGGCTGGAGTGCAGTGGCACAATCTTGGTTCATTGCAGCCTCTGCCTCCTGAGTTCAAGCAATTCTTGTGCCTCAGCCTTCCAAGAAGCTGGGATTACAGGTACCCACCACCACATCTGGCTAATTTTTTGTATTTTTAGTAGAGATGGGGTTTCATCTTGTTGCTCAGGCTGATCTTGAACTCCTGGCCTCAGGTGATCCACTCACCTCAGCCTCCCAAAGTGCTGAGATTACAGGCATGAGCCACTGTGCCAGGCCCCCTTTTTTTTTTTTCCTTGAGACAGGGTCTCACTCTGTTACCCAGGCTGGACTGCAGTGGTATGATCTTGGCTCACTGCAACCTCTGCCTCCTGGGCTTAAGTGATTCTCCCACCTTGGCCTCCCAAGGATAGCTGGTACTACAGACACACACCACCACACCTGGTTAATTTCTGTATTTTTAGTAGAGTTGAGGTTTTGCCATGTTGCCCAGGCTCAAGAGATCTGCCTGCCTTGGCCTCCCAAAGAGCTGGGATTACAGGTGTGAGCCACCATGCCCAGCCTGCTTGCTCTTAAATTGGATTGTCAAAACAATATTCCTGCTAGTAATAATAACAACAATAACCACCGGAACTAACACTGAGCACTAAGTAGGTTCAGGGCTTCATGACAAACACCTCCTGTGTATTTTCTTATTTTTCCCTTTGAACACTGTGTGAGATAGACACTATGGTCACGTCACCTTACAGATGCAGAAAATGCAGGTTAGGAAGGTTAAGCCATTTGCCCAAGGCCCGTGGCAGGAGGACCTGGAATCAGAACCCAGATGATCTGATGCCACAGCCCACATTCTGACCACTATGCTATCTGTGCCCCTATTTCTCTGTTTCTATCTAAAGATGTTTACCTTTGTGTTAGACTCATTCCTTTTGTCTTTTGAGCCCTTTTTCTTCTGTTTTGTGTCTGTAAACTGAACAAGAACCCGGAAGGGGCGAGCGGCAGGCCAATAGCAGCCAATACTCCCAGCCTCTCAGGCTGGCTGCTCCTGCTGGACAAAGGGAATCTGAGTGGGCACCAGCAATATTCCCATCCCCCATAGCAACCCTCACTGCTGGCCACCTGCTTTTATAGCCTCTGACCCTACCTAAGTAATTGCTGAGGATTCCAGTGCTGTGTTTTTGTTTTTTTTTTTAGACCGAGTCTCACTCTGTCACACAGGCTGGAGTGCAGTGGTGCAATCTCAGCTCACTGCAACCTTCACCTCCAGGGTTCAAGCAATCCTACTGCATCAGCCTCCTGAGTAGCTGGGACTACAAGCACCCACCACCACGCCTGGCTAATTTTTTAATAGAGATGGGATTTCGCCATATTGGCCATACTGTTCTCAAACTCCTGCCTCGGCCTCCCAAAGTGCTGGGATTATAGGCATGAACCACCATGCTGTATCTTACACTGATTTGATACACTAGTCCCCAGCACAGGTCCTGGCCCAGAGTAGGTGTGCCACCAAGTTCTGCAGGAAGGAGGGAATCAAGGAAAGAGATAAGCGTCCTTCACCACAAACACAAGAGGCATGACCCAGGAAAGCAGCCACCTCTCTGTAAGGACCCTCTGACCCTTGCTTCCTGGCAGATTTGACCACCTGGTGGCCATAGAGCGCACTGGAAGGGCTGCTGATGGCAATTACTACAATGCAAGGAAGATGAACATCAAGCACTTGGCTGACCCCATTGACGATCTTTTCCTTGCTGCAAAGAAGATTCCTGGAATCTCATCAACTGGTAAGTACGGAGCACTGGGAATGCAAAAAGAATGTGTCTCCACTAAGTGTCTTTTTT